CTTGTGTTCCAGTGTCTCCTACGTTCCCCGTGTGATCATTAAAGATTGTGAATTGAAGTTATCTCCGTGGTTCCTCGCTCCCTGCCTCCCGAGAAGTGTGACAGCGAGACTATTTATGTTGCATATTTTCTTCAGATATCTAGTTCATAGATGTATTGTTTATGATATGTTGATAGATGTATTGTTAATGTATATTGATTTTGGAGTAATATATTGGCATGTGAAAGGCCAACCATTTTAAACTTTTGAATTTTTAAATGTGTAGATATAGTACAACTAAAAATAAAATCAGCCATGTTTTCAGTGTTCATTTATTATAGAAACACTGGAATTTAATTTATTAATCACACTCTTTAAAAAAAAAAATGTTGTCCTGCATGATGTAAAGCTAATCTATGCTATTGATTTTTTTTAATGTTGGCAATGGGAATTGCAAAATCTGTTAATTATATTGCTCAAACCATAGTTTACACCAAATTAATAGCAAGACAAGTGTAAAAGAATGTATAATTGGTAGTGTCAAGACGCTGCAAAGAAATTGTATATGTACCAATATGTAAGTCCCAAATACAAATATAATTTAAATAGTTTGAACTGCTTGCACCAAGTAGGGCTTGATATCCAAAATGTAATAAAACAGTTTAAGTAAAAGAGAAACTGACCACTTACAGGGATGATGTTAAAGGTATAGTTCACCCAAAAATGAAAATTCTGTCATTAATTACTCACCCTCATGTCATTCCAAACCTGTAAAACCACACTCATGCGTCATGGTGCTCTCGTAAATGCGCGTCGAAGACTGACACAGAAGAGAAGAAATTGTTGAATAAAGTCATTTTTTTTTGTTTTCTTTGTGCACAAAAATTATTCTTGTAGCTTCATAAAATTTAGGTTGAACCACTGATGTCACATGGACAATTTTAACAATGTCCTTACTACCTTTCTGGGCCTTGAATTTGGTAGATGCATTGCTGTCTGTGGAGAGTCAGAAAGCTCTCGGATTTCATCAAAAATACTTAATTTGTGTTCTGAAGATGAACAAAGGTCTTACAAGTTTGTAATGGCATGAGGGTGAGTAATTAATGACAGAATTTTCATTTTTGGGTGAACTAATCCTGTAAGTTAATAGTGACTTATCTTGCATATGTTGAGGCACAGAAAAGGGTTAGGGGTCAGATAAATTATTCCACAGCCGTGGGATTTCTGCAGTTGAGTACTTGAGCTTAATGGAATTAGAATCACAACTCACTGTAGCGTTACAGCAGTTTACTCACCCTGAGAACTTGGCAGCCCTTGAATTACTTGAAAAATTGGACCATTTTCCTCAAAAGCAGACACTTTGTGTTGCCCACACTCTCCAGCTCATTGTCTGTTATTCTCAAGATTGGAGTAAGCCCTTTCTGCCAAGCTCTTGCAAGGGTCCCCAAGCAAGATCCTGTTGCCATAAATAAACCACAGTATGTCGGTTGATTTTCATCTAATAAAGATCTCATTTCACATGTGAAGAGATTAACTTTTAGATAATCAAGAGATAAAACCTTGTTATCAGTATGCTTGTCGTATATATGGGCAGCTATCATTTGAAAGTTGTTTGAGTTTTATGCTCATTGTTTAGCAAAGATGACCTCCTCTAACACCACCTGCGAAACTGATCCAAACATTTTCTGATACCTTGTTTTACTGAGTTCAAAAGTGTACTGTGTTTTTAAGCGGCTCTGACCTCCTGTCCCCACAGCCAAATAGCCCCTGTGTTTGCGATAACAGCGTGGTCTTCACTTCGACTGATCTCTTCCTGTCAAAAGTACCTTAATCAGGCAGGATGGAGGCACTAATGAAATCATGGGATTCTCTTGAGACTGTGCAACCTCCTCCGTCAGCCCTGCCACCGTTAGCCACACTGTAATTGAAACAAATGTGCCAATTAGGCCATTCATTTCTCACATTGTCTGCCACACATTTACCCAGCTAATTTGTATTTGTTCCATACCTTTCCTCCTTTCACTCCCTCTCTTCTTCTATCCTGTTTTCCCCCTTTCTCTCCTCCTCCCTCTCCTCTTCATGTCTGTGCTCTACACCTTTTCAAAGGCTGAGGGGAAGTGGTGCTCAAGAATGCAGAGCATGGCAAATGTCTCAACAGAGAGGTCTGCTTTCACTGTGTGCTAATTGCCTATTTCAACTCCCAAGTTTCCCTGAAAACTTGAGTAAATACATTAGAGGAGAAGTGTGCTCTTCACTTCCATGCACAAGTAGTATTATTCTCTGCTGAAAAAGCAGCTTAAACTGCTTGATTTGTTGGTCTTAGCTGGGTTAAACTGGTTGGCCAGCAGTCTTCACAGTCTGACTAACTGTAAAGCGCCCCAAATCCCTGTTAAACCAGCGAAATATACCAGGCTAATGAGGCTGTCCAAGTTGGGAGACCAGCTAAGATTTTTTTTTTAATACAGTGTTTGAAAAAATAAATCTGTGACATTTGCGGCAGAAAAACTTGGCCCGAAAAAATACTGTAGCAACATTTTTAGGTTTTACAGATTAAGCATTTACAATAAAAAAAAACAAACATATATTTCACTGAGATGATAATATATCAAATTACTAATATAATTTTTTCCCCTTTATAATATGTTGATAAATGCCTGAGAAGCAAAGGCGGTAATGAAAAAGTCAAATTGTAAATTAAAGCTTTTTATAAATAGCTTTTTCACAAGCTGAGTTAAATACTAAAATATATAAGGTGTATGTTGTCATAGACACATAGACACATAATGCAATAATCATTAATTTAACAAAATAAGATGTAACATAAAACCCTAATGTACAAATCTGATTAAACACACACACACATAGAGAGAGAGAGAGAGAGAGAGAGAGAGAGAGAGAGGAAACAATTTCTGTGAAAAAAAAACATAAAATGTGAATGTTTTTCACTGTAAATCATAAGATGGCTTTGTTCTTTTTCACTTCCAAACATATATACATTTAACAGTATTTTACTGAAAAATTACACAAATTGTCCAGATCTATTACATTTTCCCATAAAGTAAGGGAAACTAAAAAAAGTAAGGGAATTAGAAAAGTAAGGGAATTTAAATTTTAATCATTTTTTACAGTTTACCATTTGACTTCACCGACTGTATTTTTACAGCTTTATAGTGCAGCATCACGAACTTAATCACTCTAATTATGCATCTGGGTTAGTCATATGGCTCACAAAATAATTAAAGCATGTTATGAGCTATGAACATGAGGGCTAATGTGATTCTGAGAAATAATCTGTGAATAGAGCAAAGTTTAAAGTCCTGTGATGAAAGTAGAGGAAGAGAGGGAGAAGAGGGCATCACTGCAGCTACTGCTCAGCATTAATGTGACTGTAATTTTATATTTTAGTAACCATGTTCTGTTGAAAGCAATAACCAAATCAGATGGATTTAAGATGGAAATTTACCCAAAAAAGCCCTTGTGTTCCTTCCAAGGTTATGAAGTAATGAATTACAAACAGACCAAAAACTAAACAACTATTTTCATTGTTGTGTGGGATAGGAACTGTTTCTTCTTTGAATAAGCACAGTGTTCAGTGCAGTGTCAAAGATGAATGGTCACTGTGCTTTCAATTACAGTTTATACTGCTGAGTGTTGAAACTGATATCTCTTTTGCTGTTAACAGCATTGGTTAATAAATGCTTCTCTTTTTGTCAGGTGGAGTGGTTAAAAAATGAAGAATTGGTTAGCTCGCTTGAAGACGATAACATTGACACTCGTGCTGACCACAATCTGATCATCAATGAAGCCAGACTCTCTGACTCCGGCAACTACACCTGCCTCGCCAGTAACGTAGTCGCAAAAAGACGCAGTGCTACAGCTACTGTAGTTGTGTTTGGTAAGATAACACTGATATGCTTCATTGACTTGTTGTGGTGTCTCCTCATCTTTGCTAAAAATACTACTAAAAGGCTCTCTGCTTGTGAAGTCATTAATTATCACATTTTACCTGTTAACTCATTAGGTTATATACCTCTTTATGATCATTTTCACTTTTGGGTGAACTATTATTTACTTACTCTCATGACTTTAACGTAATTTTGTTTTTGTCAACACAATACAAGTCATTGGGGTTCAATTGGTTTTTATGGATCCCATCAACTTTGATTGTATGGACAAAAAGAGTTGAAACATTGTTTCAGAAAAAATGTAATATAGCATCCGTTTAGGTGTATATGGAGAAATGGAGGTTATTGTAACCCTCTTGGAAAGGCAGAAGTCTGCCGGGGAAACACGGGCTCTATGGCTATACCGTGGGCTATACACATACGAGAACCGCTTAGGTCTCAATACGGAACCCAGCCTTCCACGGTTCCCGCGGATTCATCGTGAAGGCCCGGCGCCGGACGTTCCGCCGCATCCACTGCCGAGGGTGACGGAGGATCTCAACAGGGTCTGCTGTAGGACACTCTGGAGCAGTTTTAGCAAGCCGACACTAACCGGGGCCTCCCGGCGCCACTACCCGTTTGAGGTGAGAACACATTCCGGGTCCGAAGCTCCGAAGCGAAAAGTTGGTATGCATTGCACCTGATGCCTTATTATACTCACGCTGTGATCAGCGGCAGCTGGATGCAATAATTGCATGGCAATGTGCATTGGCTCGTTTAGTTTACACTCCAAGTAGATTGGTCTATCGAAGCGATATCCCAATTCGTCGGTCACAACGAATTGGTGACTCGTAATGACTGACTGAAAGGGAACTAGACATTTAAAGATACAAGCTAAAACATTTTCACCTAAACAAGCTTTAGCTTACTTTAAGAGGTTTGCTGAGATTCATACATACCACAAAATGATTCAAACTAGTGAAAAACACTAATAGCGATACCCCGTTCTGAAAGTGCAGATAGGGGAATCAGATGATTCACCTGGTCGAAGCCGGCAAAAAATATGGATGGACAATCTTGAGAGAGTTCTCACCAGTGAAGCAGCTTTAGGGAAATGTCCACTCTTGAAGCCCAGTATCCACTAGGATGTTCTGTGAAAGGAACACAGAAAGATGATTGAAGTTAGATCTTTCAAGAGTTTAGTATAGGAAAGGACACAGTGAGACAGATATGTAATTATCTACTACTCCAGTGTTGGTTTTTGAGGTAGACAGTCAGTCTACCCAACAAGGTTGGAAACATCAATCTGAAAGTAGGAAGGACTTTGCAGCAGGTCCTATTTTCTTTTATCTTTCATAGTTTTGTTATGGTTTTTGAGCATGAGTGTGTGCCACTCAAACGGTCCTTGTTGGTATTTGACTAGCTTGTACGAAAGTGGAAGATAATTTTTTTTGCCAGAGTGCAGTTGAAATTGATTAGAGAGACTTTTGACATCAACAAAAACTCGATAAGCCTGTTTATTTTGCTTTTACAACTATGCACGATTAAACAACTGATCAAAAGTTCAAATTGTAAAAATGTTTTTGAAATGTCTCTTTGAAAAATCTTACACACCCTAAATTGTTTAATGGTACTGTATGCTGAAAATTCAACTTTGCCATCACAGGAATAAATTAGAAAACAATTATTTTAAATTGCAATAATATTTTACAAATTATTGTATTTTGTTGTATTGTATTCACCGTATCAATACAGCTTTGGTGAGCATAAGACATTTCTTTTAAAAGAAACCTTAATGATTTCAAAGGTTTATGATTAGCTGTATTTTATTAATTGCATTTAGCATTCTATTTTCCCTGCTATATGACCTTATTGCAACAAATTTATTATAACATTGGTGTTAAAATATTGATAGTATTACGGGTTGTACAGATAAGACATATCAAAGTTAGACTACAAAAAGTCAAACCACAGATGTAAGAGAAGATTTTCCTCTAGCCTGTTAGTCATCCTGACCTCTGAGTGTTTTTTTCTGGCAGGGTGAGGGAAAGGTTGTCTCTCAAGTTCATTTGTTGTATTATTCAGCGGAAGATCTCTTTGTCTCTGCAGTGAATGGTGGATGGTCTCTGTGGACAGAGTGGTCTCCTTGCAGCGTGAACTGTGGGAGAGGAGTTCAGAAGCGATCTCGGACCTGCACTAACCCGGCTCCTCTGAACGGGGGAGCGTTCTGTGAGGGCATGTCTGTGCAGAAGATCACCTGCAATGCACTCTGCCCAGGTCAGAGCCTCATCAACCGCAGCACACCCCTGAGGGTGCAGCTTGTCCTCCTGCATCCAAACTCACTGTAGTTTTTAGTGTCATTATAGCACGTAACAGCCGTGTTTTACATTCAGAGCACATCAGACATCGTAGTGCATTTTCCACTCTGTAATAATTCAATGTAAGGGTATTATTATGGGTATTAGAGGCTTTACTTCATGTATGTAAATGAGACCTTTTGTTCTCTTATGAGAACGAAGAAATAATCTCTAGCTAGTATAATTTTATTAGAGGAGTTATTCATGTTGTACTCAGTTGTTTTCTTGTCTTCATGATATTTAAATCAATTTGCGAACCGGTCTTTTTGATCTGACCACGCATGATTACTGTTTGTTTGCATAATACATTTGTATCTTTTCATTTTTTTATCAATTTGTTCACAATTAAGCTTCAAATGAGTGAAACGCATTTAATTGACTTAATTCTTAATTAATCACGCTTTGAGTTGATATGTGGTAGGTATAAATAATTATTTGTAGAAATTAAATTAAATAGGAAAACATGTTCATAGTATTCTCAATTGGCTTTTAGGTTGTGGTGCAAAAAAATCATTCTTTTGATTAAAAATCCTGTCAGTTATTAGTAGAGAATGTATGAAATTTGTTGTCACTGTTATATAAGTCATTTATTTATCAAATGTTAATTAAATTAACCAATATACCATGTTGATTAATTGTTTATAATTAAATTCTTTATTTCTAAAACCTCTTAAGCATCTGTCCAATTAGATTTAGAGTTAAATCTCACAGTATTTATTTTCTTCACATATTGTGGAAATGCATCTGTAGAAGCAGCAAAACAATATCAGCAACATAAGTGTATTTGCATATTCAGCTTGACAGTATTAAGCTACCACACAAAAGTTTGATGTTTCATAAGATTTTTTTATGTTTTTAAAGTCTTTTGCACTCACAAATCCTTGATCACAAATACTGTAAAGCAGTAACATTGTGAAATATTATTGCAATTTTAAATAAAGGTTTTTTTTTTAAATGTATTTTAAAACCATTACGTTTTAAAAAGCCATTACACAGTGCCACATGATCATTCACAGCAGGTTCACACATACTCTGTTTGCAGTGCGTATGTAGTACATATTTTTTTCTGAATGCATGTTAATGGATTAGAACATTTACACTGCACAAGGTTGCGATCCGGCAGTGCTTTCCAAGAGTGGTGGGTCTGCAGCAGTGCAGCGATCGTTTCTGCACCAAGTGTATTTTTGCTGTGCTACACACGCTGACTTAAAGTGACAGTTCATTGTTCGTGGTAAAAATGAAAATGTATTGACATGAAAATTTACTATTTACACCTTAAACGCATAATTAGCCTTCTGTGTTTCACAGTCAACACGTATGGCTTTTTGGCTAGGTTTAAATCGAGGAAAAGAGCACTTTTAGATAAACAAGGCAATAATAGATGGCACTGGTGGAGGCAGAAAGCAAAGTTCTTTATGAACAGCAGGATTGCTGGTTTTAAATGCAAAAGAAGACGCAGGAGAGCTGACTGTTTCTGTCAGTGGTAAGTTTTCATTTGAAATGTTTGTGATAACGTAAGAAAAGTAGACTATAGGCTGTTTAAATGTTTTGCCACTTGCTTGAGCAACATAATATATAAATCTAGAAATAAAACGCATTGTATAATACGTAGCTTATATTTATTGCATTTAAACGTGAATACGTCTATGAATTATTGTATTACTGTACTGTGTAAAAAAAATCACAATGCTGAAAAAGCATTTTCAATAACAAGATTTGGATTTGAAATCAAAATAATGGGTAAATGTTTTGCTTGTGGTAAACATCCATGGATCAGGACTGGAATGAAAACGCGTCCTGTGTGAAAGCACAATGAGTCCGTGCTGCTTCTTCACCGCATACAAACCACACATGGACTGCATACACACTGCAAACAGAGTATGTGTGAACCTGGCATCAGAAAACATTATAAAATGTTGCTTTGATGCTCAAGAAACATTTCTCATTTCTTATCATCACAGTTGAAAACTAACATTTTTGTGGAAACCATGATTCATTTTTTTCCAGTTTTCTTTGAATATAAGGTTCAAAATAACAGCATTTTTTTTTTTAAATAGAAACTTTTTGTAACATTGTATGTCACTTTTGATCAGTTTAGTGCATCTTTGCTAAATAAATGTATTATTTCTTAAAAAAAAAAAAAAGAACTGACCCCGAACGTTAATAATAATTTAAACACTTTTTTTCTGGCTTAAAAATAAGATTTAGAACAGATTGAAACTGACCGAGCTATAGATAATATTGAGAATTTGATAAATTGGCTCAAAATATGCTAATGTAATGCATGCAACCCCCGCCAGTGTGGTCAAGAGTTGGTCCATTACAACACTTTTAATTAAGTTTATTAAGTCTCTAGGAATCTCGTAAGTTCATTGCTGAGTGCAGTTAATGCACAGAGCAGCTGTTCACCTTCCTTAAACGGCAACCCCGTTGTGCACTCTGCAGTGGATGGAGTCTGGGAGGAGTGGAGCGAGTGGACGATGTGTAGCGCGCAGTGTGAGAGGCAGCGATGGAGGGAGTGCAACGCGCCACCGCCCCGTCACAGAGGCAAGATGTGTGAGGGAGAAGGTCAAAGCATGGAGAACTGCACGGGAGGACTGTGCACGCAAAGTGAGTGCAAATGCCATGATACATTATAAACACGGTCATTTCATCGATGACAAGAGCATCGTCGTCATCACATGTTGGTCATGCACACATGGTGCTTGACACAAAGCTCAAGTGTGCATGCATTGCGAGTTTTGGGAACTGCTATAATTGTCTGCTAAAAGTGGATGAAAGTGACGGCATCATGCCCCGTGTCCCTCTCAATATCTCCCTCATAGCTGTTATGATGAGAACCCTCTCTGATTTCTCCTCCTTAATGAAGGATGGAAACATCCTGCAGCCTAAGTGATCCAAAACCATCTGCCAGTAGCTTCCCATGGCAACAATGCCGAGCAACAGTATCCACAGCTAATGTTGGCATAGCCTGCAGTTGGACATCTACCCGTGATGTGAATCAGAGAGCAGATTTGTAATAAGTATTACAGGGATGGACTGTAATTCTCTCTCCCTTTCTTTTTTTTTTCTCTCTCTCTTGTTCTGTTTTTTTTCCCCTGCAGATGGGAAGCTGATGCATGATGTTAAGCCTCAGAGTGAGTTCCTCCTCCATTTGAATTCATAATTGCTGTACAGATGAGGGAATAAAACAACAAAATAAGCTGTTGCTACTGTCGAGTGAACTTCTGTTATTTTTTATTAGTTATTTTATCTTAAATATCCTATTTGTGAGAATTTGTGTGATAGCTATTTTTTCTCTTCCTCCTTGATTAAAGGTGCAATAGGTGATTGTCTTCAGAAACATTTTTTGTTATGCTGGTTGAAAGTCTCTTCACATCCCGATAGCAATCATTAAGTTAAGTTGTCTAAATGTATTTGTCTGTATTTATATATTCTGTGGAAGGCGTAGGATCAAGAAATGTTTGTCCAATCAAAACGCTCAGTCCGAGCATTTTAATTGGCTTTCCTACCTGCCTGTCAACGTATGTATTAGCATACCTCTGCGCACCCGTTTCGGTGCGACAGGATACGTCATCAGCGCGTTCACGCACGCTGTGCAGACAGAGCGAGAATGGCAGACAAACATAAACAACCTGATCTTCCGTCCTGGTATTGTAGTACTTTTAAAGTTTTCTCACCGGTAAATGACACATGATGTAGCCCAGCGGTTAATCCAGTCCTTGCACCAGCTCGTTAGAAGTGAGCTACGTGCATGAACTGTGTTCCGATCCATATGATCCCTACACAGTGTTTATTGCTCCCTACTCCCTGAGCAGGGGAAATCCGTTGAAGTTTACTTGACTTCGGAACATGGGCTGGAATTGGGAACCGCTGATGTAGCCTAATGTAGTAATGTTGTCTCTGGTATTCTGGTCTGTGAGTGTAAATGCGTTCAGGGGGCGTGGCTTTGGACGGCGATTGCAGGAAGGGTGGGACGTTCGCTTTCAGTGCTATCAGGCTAAAGTTAGCATTTTCCAAGATCTCCTACTGCACCTTTAAGATAAGCTCAATCCTGTCTTCACTTCTACACTTGGTTACCTGTATCATTATACTGACAGCAGGTGTCATTTTCAACAAAGTGGAAAAAAGATTAATTAGCAAGTATCCAATCTGTCTCTCAATTAGAATTTTAGTATGGAAATTGCAAGCCAACTGAAGCATCCACAGCAAGTAAACTTTACTATGAAAAAAATAGTTCTTGGAAAATATTAAATCAAATAATACATTTATAATATAAACTTAAAGTATAAAAACATAAAATAATTAGAGGAAAAAGAATAAGAAAAAATTATTTTACCAAATTTTCTCTAAAAACAGGATATTTCCATAGTCAGTGAAACAACTAAATAAATTTGATAATATTTTACCAAATTTTCTCTGCCAGTGGAACAAAATATATATTTTTAAACAAAATATTTTCTCTAAAACAAGTCTTATTGCCTTGTGGCCATTTTTTCTTCTAAACTAAGTTTATCAGAAAAGACAAAGATGCTGATTAAGAATTTGATGATTCTCAGTATAGTCCTAAATATTCTGCTGGTGTCCTTATCAAGATTTTCTCCGTATCCATTTCAGAGAATTTCAAAGTGCTAGTCAATGTATTGTGTCCTTTTTAGATTATAGAGAGTGAGTGATTTGGATGTGGCATTTGAACATGTGCTATATTTAGAGGAAGCAACAAGGTGTAATCATTGAATATTAACTCACCTCGTCAAGCATATTATGTCTTAATTTCTCCCCATGTATTATTTTAACCATATTGAGGCACTTTGCAAAACATGATTTTAAATATGTATTAGTACCAGGTGCTTCTGCATTGTTACAGTGATGTGACTCTGAGACTCCTCCATGTGCATTGATGTGTGAGCTGGGTCATAATGCTTCTAATTTAATCTATTAAATCTGTTCCATGATGGACATGCAATTAATTCACCTTTACCCTTGGACAGAAACATGTTTCCAGTTTGCAGCATGTAATCCTGCTCAACTTTCTGTAGTGCGTCAGGTTATTTGAAATGCAGTGCTGTAGTTTTATAAGCATATTCTTCCTCTCACGGCATGATTAATGTCCTCTGTGTCCTTTGTGATCTGGCGAGTTCTGTCTGCCCAACCCTCCTGCTGCAGAGGTCACTTGGGCCAGTGCTGTAGATGCCAGCTGAACAGATGTATCATTGCGTGGGGTGTTGGCACACCACCCTGCCAGTTATTAAAGTAGTAAGAGCCCTGGAATTCACACCTCCCAAACTGCCCTCACGTGCCAAGCATATCTTTATACACTGCTAAACATGTGCATATTGCACCTGTTCCATTTACACAGGTGTCTAAAAGATTTGCAAGTCTAACCGCAATGACCAGGCATGCAGTCATGATGGCTTTAAATGTTTCCCTGTCACCAAAATGTTTTTTTTTTCCTGGCGCTGTTAAAACATTTAACTCGCACGCAGCTACAAAACTGTTAGAAGAACTATATCTTATTTATCTTATCTTGATTATCTTATTTTACTATATTTTTTGTGTATTTCTTAACACAGTGTTATAGCAACAATAATAATGGTATAATACTAATAACAGTAGTGATGATGATGATGTTGATATTATTATCATTAATAATAATAATAATAAAATATTATTAAAAAGTACTTATTAAATTATATATTTTATAGTATTTCATAAAATAATAATACTAATAATAATGATTAATTAAAAAAACGAATTATATTAGTATTTTAATTATTAGTGTTATTAGTAATAATTTGTGTTTTAAAGGATTTCTTAATACTACTATTTCATAACAAGATTATTATATTATATTTTATTATAATATATTATATTATATTAAATATATTTGATTTACAACTATACAAATCTTATTTCTTTTATTTTTTGCCACTGTGAAAACATTACACTTGCAGAAATCTACAAAACTATTACATGAACCATATCTTGTTTTACTATTTCATAGCACAACAACAACAACAGCAATAATAATAATAATAACAACAGCAATAATAACAGTAATAAATAATAATATAAAACAGTGTTTTCATTATACTACTGAGTAATTATTTATATTATTGCACCACACCTTCTTATAATAATAATAATAATAACAACAGCAATAATAACAGTAATAAATAATAATATAAAACAGTGTTTTCATTATACTACTGAGTAATTATTTATATTATTGCACCACACCTTCTTATAATAATAATAAATGCATACACAATATAATAGTAGTAATAATATTAGTGTTATGACAGTATAAAATATTAGTTATCTCTAAAGTTATATTTTATATTTTATAATACTAATACTACTACTAATTATTATTATTACAATAGTATTTTATTCAAGATAAATAGCAGAGGTATATACATGTATGTGCTATTTGGCATATTTTTCTCAATTTTTTCCACAATAAATGATGAAGCCTAAGTGTGTGTGTGTGTGTGTGTTTATGGCTGTGTCCAAGGCATGGAGAACTCTATTGATGTTGCGCTGTACTCTGGTCTGTCTGCGGGGGTGATCGCTGTGGTCGTCCTCATAGTGGCCATCACCCTCTACAGGAAGAGTCAAAGTGAGTATGGAGTGGACGTCATTGACTCATCTGCTCTTGCAGGGGGCTTCCAGTCCTTCAACTTCAAAACCACCAGACAGGGTAAGAGTTCACTGTAGATGAAGCGTTCGGTTGAATTTATTGATTTATTGTGTTACTGAAGTTTATGTGCCGCTTGTCACAATAACAGGCCAGGCTACAATGAATATTCAAACAATTCCAAATTAATTTATTGCTTGTAAAAGCATACAGACACACATGCCATAAGAGTTATTTATTCCACAGTAAGACACTAACATATTTCACTCACACAAACAGCCTCCCCTGAGCAAACACACATTCGCACACAAAAAACTCCAAATCCTTTGACGAGTAAATGTGGAAGGCATGCTACGTTGACTTCAATTCTGTCTTTTTGTCTGCTGTGCCGATAACTTTTGTTGATAAGACCACGACTATAGTCACATGACCCACGTTTGGTTCCGCTACACGCGCCCATATTACCATCGCTGACACTTCTGGGTCAGAGAAAGTGATAGCCATCGCCTCGTAGGGTAATCAATCCTGCCTGCTTGTGACAGCACAGTGAAAGGCTGCGACTAGCAGCTTGTGTTTACTGTGCTCAAGGCTTGGGATGGTGAAACCCCCCTCCCGCCCCCCGACACTTGCATGCAACAGGAAAGAGGGGATCAAGGCTCAGCTGAGCCGCATCTGTCAGGTCATCAATCCTATTTAAAAAGGCCAACTTTCTTCCAGCCTCCCGCTGTGCCTTATTCCAACAGCCAATCCGGTTCCCATCAGAGCTCATAGGAAAGACCAAACCCCATGCAATGGAAACGAGAACATGTTGGATGTTCGTTTAAGGATGTGGTATGTAGAACGAGACAATAGAAGCTTCTCTAAACAGTTGTTCGTTTTAAAAGTTCAGAAGTTCCAAATTTGAATGCATCTGATGTCATTTTGATTTGCTTTTCTTTTTATTAAGGTAGGTTTTGGGTTATTCATTATATTTTTTAACACCTTTCTTTTTAACTCAGTTCGCTGCATGATATCTATTGCAGTTTTTCTCAGTATGTAATTATTATAAAGTTTCTGAAGTATTCCAGCTGAAATCACAGGTAACAGCACGACACTCCAGACCTTTGCCCACCTGTCTACTCTTGAAATCTGAGCCACTGAGTCATTTTAATCACAACTCTAATTCCAGATCTTTCCCCGCAAGGTGCCCACTACATGCCTGTTTCATTAACTCCTATCATCCCGCTGCCTCTTCCTTTCATTTTTCTGTCATTCTTTTGAGATTTTCTGTCCCACAGTGATCATATCCTGCTTCTGAAGAGGGGAAAACCAATTTGTTGTGGATGAGAATTTAAGAAGTTGAACCATTTAATGTGCTTTAATTTCTTTATATGTCTGGTGAAACTAAATCAGGTTCAGTTCTATGCTATAGGTAGTGGTTAATTCACCTAATGTCATTCTAAACCTGAGTTAGTTTCTTCTGTGGAACACAGAATAATATATTTTGAGAAATGTCTCATACAATTTTTTTTGTCCATACAGTGGATGTAAAAATAGCTTTGGACCCCATTGACTTTCTTTGTGTATGGACAAAAACAGTTGAAATGTTCTTCACAATATCTAAAATGTTCTGCAGAAGAAAGAAAGTAAACAATGACAAAACTTTAACCTTGGCCTGAATATACCTTAAAAGGATAATGATGAAGTTGATCATTCCAAATATGCATATGCCTTAGCATTTTTCCACCAGAATTTGTTCCATTCTGACACCTCAGAACTTTGTGGGACCGTTCGAATTCAAAAGGCACACCTCTCATCACCCTGTTGCAAAACCTTGACCTGCCCAAGCATGGTGACTAGAAATATCCCAAACGCCTGACACCGATCAGCCCAGCCTGGGGTAATTAACGATTTTCCTAAAAATAAAGACCCATTAGCCTCATGCCTCCCACCGCTCACTGTGCAGCAGCTGGCCAGCAAGGACTAAGTGACTCGAGTGTTAGAGCTACTTTGGCACCGGGATGATTCGTGGGGGCTCGGTGACGGTGTGTGCCTGCTTCAGACAGGAAAAGGTGAGAGAGCAACAGCGAGGGATGAAGACCCCCTTCCAAGAGCTGTTCTGAGTTCAAGCTGGGAGGTGACAGATTTAAAAACTTGAAAAACAAAAAGGTCATTTAGACGTAGTTCATATATGTATGTCCTCCTGAGTAGCTAAATTAATTCATTGTACAGGAAAGCACAAATCTCTCATGATGTCACTGGAGAACTAATGCTAACTATGCTTGTGGGTAATGATGAGCAATTTATGGATGTGACTATTAGAATGAGTCAATGCATGAAAGCAACTGTTTCCACAAACAATCTACCGTGACTAAAAATTCAGTAACATGGTAGCAACTAAGCTGAATGCTGTCAAAAGTGTCTGCAGGGTATCTTTGATAAACGTTTATAAAAACAAGTACATTTGCTGCCTGAATACGCATGCATAATCTAAAATGTCAGCTAGCAATGTATATATATATATATATATATATATATACTGTATATAGGGCTACACAACTTTTGTTGTGTACAACCAATTATTTTGTCATACATAGTGATTTTAACAGCAATATGACATTTCATATAAAAAGTCTCATATTTCTGCTGCTAAAACCAAATAGAACCTTTTCATGGTCTTTATTAGTATTACTTTTAGCTCTAATTATAAAAATGTAGACATAAATGTATTACTATTGTAAATTACAGTTGTACCATAAAATAAAATCTATTTTAATAGCTTTTCTTCAACTCATGAACCCCCTGCAGTCCGCTAACCTTGTTTCAGTTCAAATTTAATAAGAATTAGAACTCTATACTAATTCTATACTAATCTAACACCTATTCAAAACCATATTTCAGGTAGTTAGATTTTGAAGGGCCAATAATATAACAGTAAAATAAGCCTAAATAAATAATTTAGTTGGTGCCAAGGCTCTTTCTTTTCTCACATGCATAAAATTGTCCTTTTCACTGTTGTATTTTTCAAGATTAGACATTTTTTCCTTTTTCCAGCACTCTTAAAATGAATATTTTAGCCAAAACAGCAAATTAAATATTTAATCCTTTTCTATTTGCACGCCTTGATTTTCAGGCCATGGTCTTCTGCACTGGAGCTGGCCTGTCAAGACCCCATCTAACTGTATTCTTCTCTTTTTACCTGTATCGACAACTCCTATAAAACACCCAAAATATCACAGACTGTGTTTTCATCTCCCCAGGCAATCCACTTCTGCTGAATTCCTCCATGCAGCCTGGCTCTTTCTTTTCTCACATGCATAAAATTGTCCTTTTCACTGTTGTATTTTTCAAGATTAGACATTTTTTCCTTTTTCCAGCACTCTTAAAATGAATATTTTAGCCAAAACAGCAAATTAAATATTTAATCCTTTTCTATTTGCATGCCTTGATTTTCAGGCCATGGTCTTCTGCACTGGAGCTGGCCTGTCAAGACCCCATCTAACTGTATTCTTCTCTTTTTACCTGTATCGACAACTCCTATAAAACACCCAAAATATCACAGACTGTGTTTTCATCTCCCCAGGCAATCCACTTCTGCTGAATTCCTCCATGCAGCCCGATATAACTGTCGGCCAGACGTACAGCAGCCCGATCTGCTTTCAGGACTCCATAGACAAAGAGCTCTTTGACCCCCTGCCAGACAAGGTCAAAGTTCAGAGCTCCTTTATGGTTTCACTAGGTGTGGCGGACCGGGCCGAGTACCATGTGAAAGCCCATCCGGAGACCCTTCCTGCTAACCTTCACCTAAACTACAGCACAGTGGAAGGAAAGAAGACAACTATGATTGCTCCTAATGGCATTCACACACTCATGAAGACTCAGTTTAAGACAAGCGCTGTGTTTGGGCACCTGGGTGGCCGTTTAGTCATTCCAAATGCAGGTGAGAGAAAGTATGTGTTTGTATTAGGTATTTGGTATTGTTATTTTTATGCAATGATGAGCATTAATTGATTTAATCTTAAGGTACAGTACAGCTGTAGTCATTTGTATTCTGTTACCAATTGGATTAGATGGAGTTCACCTAATAAAAATGAAAATACTGTCATTTGTTCACCCTCATTTCCTTTCACACCCTCAAACAGTGGCTTTGGTATCTGTGAACAGTATGCAAAATATCTCTAATCATCTGTTTGCATCTAATAAGTGCACTAAAACCAAATGTTCTCTTTGGCTGATGCTTGTAAAGGTCAACAATTCACTGAACCCACTCTCTGAGGTCCTTGTGTTGAAGGGTTCTTAGGGCCAAAGAAAAACACTTTGTTTCATATCAGATTCAGAGAAACTACAGAAAACAAGAGGATTTTATTATTTTACATGAAAACACAATTATTGTTATTTTTATTTTTGAGTGTGCATGAGGAAGTGAGGAAAATAAAGGCAGACTACATAAAAAATAACTATTGTTATTAAAATACACGAGTACTGTTATTATCTGTAGACTGACTTGAATAAATTAGTAAAGACGAAGAAGGGGATTACAAAGGGTCTTCTAAACACATTAAAAATATCTGCTGCTGAGGGTATTGTGTACATATTCACCTTTCGCAAGATTGTAGTCAGATATAATATATGAGCACTTAATATGTAAATATAAGAACATGGAATCAATTTTTAAGCCTTTTACTGTTTTAATGAATGCTCATATTGGTAATTATTTCATGAGGCATAGGAATCAGTGCGTATTGTGTAACTGCACATAAATAGTATCTCACTGTTGTTGATGTTGATGGTGTTGGTTTTCTAGGCGTAAGCTTGCTGGTACCTCACGGGGCGATTGCTGATGACACCTCTTGGGAAATGTACATGCTCATAAATCAAGAAGAGTCTAGGTAAGACTGTAGGTGACATATCTGTATCACTTTCATATTGTTGTATAAGCATTAGCGTTCTTCTTAAAGGTTCTGGCAAAAAAAAAAGAAAGAAAAAATAAATATATATATTTACTAGTGCTGGGCAACGATTAAAATTTTTAATCACGATTAATCGCATGATTTTTCTGTGATTAATCGCATTGTTATGCACACTTTTTTCATTTAAAAGTACCGCTATATGAACAAAAGTGCAATAACATTTGGTTTGCAAACACTTTAAACAAATAAGGTGCTTTTTTTGCAATATTCCTTTTACATAGTAGCAGTTAAAGTATTTCTTGTAAATCTAAACTTAAACATTAATGTAATCAAATTAAATATAAAACCAAAGCTATTTGCCACTGCCAGGGCATTAACATTTTTATAGAAAATATTTTATAGTTTGTTATAGAAAAACAAGTTTGGCTCAGAGTCCAGAGCCTCGATCATAACATTATAACAGGCACCTTCCGAGTAGAGACCCAACACAACAGAGACTCGTGTGTGCGGGATGCGAGAGAATAAGGGTGAACTCACACTAGGCAATCTTAACCGTGCCCGAGCGAGTTTGACCCCCAAAGCCGGGTCGTTTGACTAGTGTGATCGCTCCGTGCCGTGCTCGGGCACGGTTCGTTTAGTCGTCCCATGCTCGGTTGGAATGGGTGGGCCAGAGCACGGTTCAGTTGGGCTTGGGCGAGGGTGTGCATGTAGTGTGAGTGCTAACTGCACCGGAGCGTGAAACTTCTGATTCGTGCAGCACAATTGCGTTAACATTTTTAAGCAGCAAAAGTGATAGATCTGTAAAGCAATATATTGTGAGAGGGCCGTGTGTTACCGTGTCCCAAACAACTCAAAATAAACCACAAAGTTAAGAAAACTATGCACTCCACTGTGCTGAGCGAGAGCGCTTCTCTGCTGTCTTCATGTGCTATCAGAAACTTACTATTTCCCACTTATGAAGTCGTGATTACGAGCATGTTGCATTCTTTTCTGTTAAAAATAGCAGTGAACAGTGTTTGTGAATGTTGAGCCTAAATAATTTTATCTGGAACATTCGTGTGAGTGCTGCTGCAGTCTTAGGCCCACCCCAAATGGTTGAGACGCGTGATGACGCCCATCCCAAGCCAGTACTGATCAACATTCCACCCCTCCTGTGACCCATGGTTTGTCTGTATGTGTATTCAGAGCCAGTAAGCAACACAGGCTTTCAAAATAATAATAATAATAAAAACTGCGTTAATGTGCAATAAAATAATTGTATGCGTTAATTAATGTTAACGCAATAATAACGCATTAACTTTCACCAGCCCTAATATATATATATATACATATACATTATATTTACAAAGCCAGTAAGCAACACAGGCTTTCAAAATAATAATAATAATAATAAAAACTGCGTTAATGTGCAATAAAATAATTGTCTGCGTTAATTAATGTTAACGCAATAATAACGCATTAACTTTCACCAGCCCTAATATATATATATATATATATACATATACATTATATTTACATTATATATAATATATTAAGACACTTCAAATTTCTATTGTTCAAAAACCTTTATACTAGACCCGACATTATACAATAAACAGCCAGCCACCACAACAAAATGATGGACATATTTCATAAAATGTTTCATTTACATAATCTGCATATCATGCCATGAGAGAGATCCAGGTTTAAAAATGTTGAATCGTTAAATAATTTCAGGCTATAGTGTCTGAATACTTTGCTTTTGATGTTGAAAAACACCGTATTTTTATTCATTGTAATGAATAAAAAGAATGTGTAATTTTTAGATTTGTTATGCATTTGATTTCAGCTTCCATTATATTATTGTCTTTCAAGGACATACCTTTATACAGCTGTAGGGTAGTTCTCGCTGTAGGACAGGTGAAAATGAGACTACTACTTATACCAGTGATGAAAGTAAGTTTAGTTAGAATTGCTAAATATGTGGTAGAATGTTGCTAGAATGTGACTATATTGTTAATGCACTTAACTGTTTATCATTAAGTCTAGTTTACAGTAATTTACAGTGGTTTATTAACAGTACTGCTTTGAAAGGTTACATATTTAAAGTCAGATGCTACTGCTTTAATAGTTACACATTATATGAAATATATGCAAATTAGATAAATGAACATTTCAGATACATTGACATTATAAGTGGTTGTGGTATATGGGTATGGGTATGGTTGTCTGTTTTATGGGAAGAAATGCCATTAGTTGGAACAAATGAATATATAGAATATATAGAATTTACTTTTATCATCAAGACTCTCACCTTAAATTGATCTCACCTGATTGTGAATATTAGAGATGGAATCCGACTTCACACTGGAACATGTAATGCCATAAAAGCTCCGTCAAACAAGCAGAATTCTGACTTTATGAGTTATTGAACTCTTTTAGGTGAAAAGCTGAAGTCTGGATGTCACCAGCTGTGACTTGATTTTCCTTTATCACATCGAACTTGAAGTTCACAGAGTGAGTCTTTTTTTTTCCTGATCACTGAGTGATCATTTTATGTGAGTTATTTTGGTATATATAGGTCATGGTCTACACCCCCACCCGAATCTTTCCCCATAAAACTTTCTTGAGAGTTTCTGAAGGTCTTAGATTTTGACACGTTATGTATTATGTATTCTCAGCATGTAAAGGTAATGACCCTGTGTGAGCCTTGATGTGTCTCTGGAGACAATATGACTGTTGCACTCTGCCAAAACCTGAAGGAGATCCAACACAACTTGCTGTCATTGCTCAGACTGAATACATCTTCATAACGACACAGGATGATGGAGGAAACAGTTACAACAAATGAGTGCAAAATGAGGACATTATGAGTCTGTGGCAGAACACTGATTTAGCCTGGAGCCTTGAGTTCAAGGTGCACCCTGTAATTTTATCCTCACTAAAAATGTTTTACTTATAAATAAATAAAAGAAATAACACTTTTTACAAATTATGTTAAATGATGCACACAGGGTGAAGGCTTCAAATATATCAGTGGACTACATGGAATGGGTTGTGACTTAACGAGATCACTTTCCAGGTGTGCAACATAAGCTCATTGTAAATGCGTGTCTTTACTTGTTTTTGCAGGTAACTCCAAAAACTTGCATATACAATTAACTGCCGTAAACCTGCAACATCTTCCCTTTCCTTTTCACACAAATTATGAGTATGTGGGCAGATTATCGATTTATCTTATTTTTTTCCTTACATAATTCTTTATGACTTCAAAGCACTTAACATAGCGTGTGATTTGTAAACTAACACATTTTCACATTTGCATCACATGAGCAGCATTTGTATGGCTCACAAATGCTTGTAGCTCACCCGGTACAGCATTGTACTTGTGCTCAGGTCATGATAAAAGAGCTCAAAGTCTTGTAGAAGCATGCTAAAATGGCATGATAACTTTAGCAAATGCATTTTTATCTCATGTTTGAGCTCAATAGTTTATATGACATTGTTTTATGACATTTGTTGTCTTTGTGTTTTTAGGTCTGGCCTAAAATGTATTTATGGCTTGTGGCCTATAAAAACATCTACAGTAATATTATCTTGGAACAGTAGATTTTACATATGCGATTTTGCATAGATTTGCACAGTATTGAATACTATTTTTTAAAGATTCTTGTGATTAATGATAGTAGCAGCATTGTAACATTGTATCTTAAAAGGGTTCAGTCTAAAATGACAAACCAGCGCTTCTTCCCTCCTAGAGCTTTCAAACTACAACCACCAAACTCAGGCCAGACCTTCAGACTGGTCTGACTCGGGTTGCTATATCTTTTCTAACAGATCCGGCTTACGGTTTTTGTAAACCAGACTATCAAAACTACCTAAAATCCCATAGACTTTTATTGAGGGGGTGAAAACCTTTATACAATAAGACGTATGGTGTATTTAAGCTGTCTATTGCTATAGCAAAGCTTAACAACTCCCTACTGAAAAAAACTGCTAAAACCAGCCTAAGCTGATTGACTGCTTCGGCCTGGTCTCCCAAGCTGGTTTTAAAGTGGTTTTGGCCAGTTTTTTAGCAGGCCAGGCTGGTCTTAGCTGTTTTTTACTGAATCAACTGGTTTTAGCTGGATTAGCATAGAAACATGCTAACAACATGCTAGTAACTTGCTAATCATTCTAGAAACATGCTAACAAAATGCTAGTAACATGCTAATCATACTAGAAACGTGCTAGTAACTTGCTAATCATGTTAAAAAGGCTAACACCATGATAGTAACATGCTAATCATGCTAGAAACATGCTAGCAACTTGTTAAACATGCTAGCATCATGCTAGTAACATGTTAGAAACAGGCTAGCATCATGCTAGTAACATGCTAATCATGCTAGAATTATGCTAGTAACATGCTAACCATGATAGAATCATGAGAACAACATGCTAGTAACTTGCTAATCGTGTTAGAAACATGATAATAAAATGCTAGTAACTTGCTAATCATGCTAACAACATGGTAGTAACTTGCTAATCATGCTAGAAACATGCTAACAAAATGTTAGGAACTTGCTAATCATGTTAGAAACATGCTAGCAACTTGCTAAACATGCTAGAAACATGCTAATCATGCTAGGATCATGCTAGTAAGTGTGTTAATCGTGTTATCAAAATGTTAACACCATACTAGTAACATTCTAGTCATGTTAGAAATATGCTAGCAACTTGTTAAACATGGTAACAAAATGCTAGCAAACTTGTTAAACATGTTAGAAACATGCTCATGACATGATTAGCAAGTTATTAACATGTTTCTAACATGATTAGCATGTTACTAGCATGTTGTTAGCATTATTAGCAAGTTACTTGCATGTTGCTGGCATTATGTTAACAACATGCTAGTAACATGCTAATCATGCTAAAAACATGCTAGTAATTTGCTAATCATGCTAACAAAAAGCTAACACCATGCTAGTAACATGTTAATCATGCTTACAACATGTTAATCATGTTAGAAACATGCTAGTAACTTGCTAATAATGTTAACACCATGCTAGTAACTTGCTAATCATGCTAACAAAATGCTAGTTACATGCTAATCATGCTAGCAACGTGTTAGTAAATTGGTAATAATGCTAACAACACGCTAGTAACATGCTAATCATGGTAGAAACATGATAGTAACTTGCTAATCATGCTAGCAACATGTTAACCATGTTAAAAACATGCTAGTAAAATGCTAATCATGCTAGTAACATGTTAATAGTGCTAGCAACAAGCTAATCATGTTAGAAACATGATAATCATGCTAGCAACATGCTAATCAATGCTAAAAACATGTCAGCACAAATGCTAGTCATGCTAGAAACAGCCTAGCAAACCACCCCAGGTACCCTAGCAATATACTTTATACCTATCTGTTTTTTCTGATAGACTGTATTGCCTTGAAATCATTCAAACTTGAATCTTTAAAACTATTTTAACTTTCAAACTACTGAAAACTTTCAGACTGCAAGCTTTTAAAACTTTTTAAAACTTTCTAGCTAGGCTTTTTCAAGCCAACTTAAAGTTTGTCTACAAATGTTTTAATCTAGTTCGCAGATAATCTTTATGAAATCTTTGCTTTTGACATCTTGCTTGAAGAGCAGTTTGGACATTGTGATACAACTCCTTTCGTGTTCCACAAAAAAAAGAAGTTAATTCAAGTTTCAAATGACATGAGGATGAGTAAGTGATTATGGACTTTTCGTTTTTGTGGAACTATTCCTTCAAGTCAAGTTACTGATCAATTTGCCACACTGAAGTCACGGTCAGATGCCCAAATGAAAGAATGAATACATAATGGAAGCATTAAGTTTGCCTGTCGCCTCCTACAGTGTCTGCAAATGCTCCGCACTCTGCCGCCTGACCTCTAGCAGTGACTCACCAGTCTTTTTGAATAATGCTTCTCAATACAGGCCTAGGAGCTTGCAGGGTAAGACCCTTGATGATGAGGAGGAGAGTAGTAAAAAAACATGACGAGCTACTTAAGGTATAAGAGTAGAAACTCATTTAGAAACGCAGTTCCTTATGCAACCCAAGTAATCTGCCTCCATCCTAGACTCAAAAATGCAAACCAGTGTTTTGTTGCAATGAAGAACTGTTTACATAGAGAAGTTTGGTCTTCTGTGATGTGAATACCAGAGAGGTCTTACCTCACATTGCTGTTTTATCTTTTTTTTATATATACAGTATATATATTTTAAAACAAGTAGGATATTATTTGTATTATGTAAAGACAACAAACCTTTTGCTTGAGTGGTTGTGTTTTTTGCTTGTTCAAATACACCCTGGAAATGAAAAGATAATTGAAGGACAATGTTTTTGCCTCAAGGATGTCAGTGTCAAACACATTCAGCTGAGGTGTTTCAGACATTCATCATGCATTGTCCTTCATACAGCCTCTTTTAGTTAAACCTGAATGAGATTTGAATCACATTGAAGTTCCTACAGACCTGACATGCCTGAATAGTAATTAGATGTAAATAGAAGAACACTTGAAGAGAGTTTGGAAGAGGACAGACTGATTGGCTGTAAAGAGTGTTTTAGTCCTTATTCCCTCTTCAGCAAAGCTGAATTAATATAAATTCAGATAAACTGTAAAAGCTTATGGCGTCCTTTGGGCATACTGCAAAAGTCCTTAAAGCAAGTTCTGCTGCTGTGGTGCTCTTAGATTTTCAGTTTGGAGTGAATTTTGTATTACAAAGTGGTTAGTTGGAAAGACAAAAAGAACAAAGCTTTGGTTATGCATGGCACTTTTGGTGCTTTATTTAAAGTGTGAGAAGCACTTTTTTAGCTTTTGTATTTTATTAGATAAGTTTGACAAACTATTTACCTAACATAATTATTTATTAATATTATCTAACTCAGTGTTGGCTAAATAATAATAATTATAATAATAATTTATGCATTTAGCAGACGCTTTTATCCAAAGCGACTTACAGTGCATTCAGGCTATACATTTTTACCAGTATGATATACAAATATAAATATACAACTGTTGTTCACAGCCCTGCTTTTAAAATCAGCTTTAATTGGCTCAGTTTTTTCTATTAAATGTTGATGTCTATCCAATGTTTATTGCTAGAAAATAAATTGAAAGGGCCACATTATGTATATGCATTTCCATGGTGTACAGACTATGCAGTTTTGACAACCAAAAGGCTTCCCCTTCCTTTCTGTTTCCTTTTTTTACCTTTAAATTTGCATAAAAGGCCAAAGCCTTCATTAACTCTTTCTCATTAATGCATTTTATGTTGTGGTTTACCACCACAAGGAAAAGATGGAAGGTAGAGATAATGGCCAGAAGATCATAAGCAATGACTAATGAATATGCAAGAGCTGCTAAACGACTCCAGTGCCCTCAGAGAATCAGTAGCTTCCCGTAAATCAAGGTTCTCAAAGCCGTGTTTGTAATGATTCTGTAGACTGCAGATGTGACCGTTTTCATCATTGTATTATTTATGCAGTATAACAAAAGTTGTGAGCACATTTTTCTGTCAGTGTATTTTTATTGTGTTTTGTTTTCATTTTTATTTGATTTAGCTAAATGTCTTGACTATTTTAATTATTGGCCAAAGGGGTCTAGTGTATAGCTCAAACAGTCAAGTGTAACGCTAATGATATCAATGTTTGATTCCCAAGAATGGCATGCACTGATAACTTTGAATATATTGTAACCTGCTTTGAGTAAGGGCATCTGCCAAATGCATACATTTGTTAGTTTGATTATTTATTTATTTATTCACACTACCACTCAAAATGTTTCTGAAAGGAGTATCTAACCAAGGCTGCATTTATTTAATCAAAAATAGTGAAAACAATTCAATTGTGAAAATGTATTACAATTTAAAATGTCTTTACAATTTAAAAATCTTTCTTTAAATAATAATAAATAATATATTTTAAAATGTTATTTATTCTTGTGATGGCAAAGCTAAATTTTCAACAGCCTTTACACTCTAGTCACAGTGCCATGATCCTTTAGAAATCATTCTCATATGCTGGTTTTATGCTCAAGAAACATTTTTTATTATAATCTTTGTTGAAAACGGATTTGCTGCTTAATATATTTTTGTTAAGATTTTTTGAGTAGTAGAAAATAACAACATTTATTTGAAATAGTAATAGAATAAATCTTTTGTAACATAATTGTACATACTGTCACATGCATCAATTTTAATGTATACTTGCTAATAAAATAAAAGTAGTAATTTCTTTATCAATGATCATCAATTTTTGGTTTTTCATTTTGTCTGCTAGTGCCCAATCAGAGGAAAGGTGTGAGATTCTGTTAGGGCCAGAGATCACGTATGGACCTCCGGGGCTAAACCTGTCCTATCCTGTTGCCATGACGATAGCTCATTGTGCTGAAGTCAGCACTGAAAACTGGAACATTAAACTCAAGAGACAAACCAAGGACAACAAGTGGGAGGTAGGAACAAAGGCATGACTTCTGTGTTTTTTACAGCAAATTCATTTCAAATTATTTTCTGTGTGACTCATAAGCATGCCAGATTGAAAACATTCTCAATTATTAGCAATGGGCCAATATAGTATAGTGCACTGGCAACCTTTGTCAACATAACATTTTAAAAAATGATTTAACACTTTACTCAGTTAAATACATACCGCCAGCCCCTGATGATTAAACATTTATGTTGCCATTTAGATATATTTCTGAAGTCATTTGATACAGTTAACCTGGCAGCATGTGCCATGAACCAATTATGAGTGAAATTCATTTGAACCACATCCTGTAAAAGCACATGGCAGCCTTTGAGGCTGTGCGTGTTTTAAAAATGTGTTGATTAGGCGATTGTGCGCTCTTGACAAGAGATCCAGAGACAGCAGTTCCTCAGAGGAGGCTAAGGCAGTGAAGTGCTCAAGGAAAAAACAATTACAGCCTGTAATAGCTGGGAAGACACAGTTCATGGCAGTCAAACAGCAGGAGCATTGGGACAAGGCACCCCATCAGACCCAGGATATATCGATCTGGTTGTGCTAGAGGACCACCTGAAATAAGAGCTGACACGAGGCAATCAGAACAGGAGTCATGGATGGGACCTCACTCAATCACTCGCATTTGTCCTAGTCCCATGTGTTTTACTCTGGCGTCAGCCTCTGAAAACCTAAAACTGTCATCACGGTTTGAAAGTTGATGTATTAATGAAAGCTTACCGTAGCAGTACAAAGTTTGTTTATTGTGAGCCCCTAGCGTTATTGAAGGTGATTAGATAATAACTTTCTTTTTGTGTCGGACCACCAGCCTGAGTCATTATTTAGATGAATTTCAGATTGTTCCAAAACACGGTACTTATCCTTGAGATTACAACCAGCAGTCGCGCTCTTGACAAGAGATCCAGAGACAGCAGTTCCTCAGAGGAGGCTAAGGCAGTGAAGTGCTCAAGGAAAAAACAATTACAGCCTGTAATAGCTGGGAAGACACAGTTCATGGCAGTCAAACAGCAGGAGCATTGGGACAAGGCGCCCCATCAGACCCAGGATATATCGATCTGGTTGTGCTAGAGGACCACCTGAAATAAGAGCTGACACGAGGCAATCAGAACAGGAGTCATGGATGGGACCTCCCTCCTGACCCTACTACAATCACTCGCATTTGTCCTAGTCCCATGTGTTTTACTCTGGCGTCAGCCTCTGAAAACCTAAAACTGTCATCACGGTTTGAAAGTTGATGTATTAATGAAAGCTTACCGTAGCAGTACAAAGTTTGTTTATTGTGAGCCCCTAGCGTTATTGAAGGTGATTAGATAATAACTTTCTTTTTGTGTCGGACCACCAGCCTGAGTCATTATTTAGATGAATTTCAGATTGTTCCAAAACACGGTACTTATCCTTGAGATTACAACCAGCAGTCCTCACGAAAATGCATCTTTGCTGACAGTTTTTCCCTGGCTTTTAACAGTTTTATTTGAACCAGTGATAGCTCCAGTGTTGGTGATGACTGAAGTAATTACATAAAAACTGCTGGTTAAATCACAGACTTGTATGAAAGCTTACCGTAGCAGTACAAAGTTTGTTTATTGTGAGCCCCTAGCGTTATTGAAGGTGATTAGATAATAACTTTCTTTTTGTGTCGGACCACCAGCCTGAGTCATTATTTAGATGAATTTCAGATTGTTCCAAAACACGGTACTTATCCTTGAGATTACAACCAGCAGTCCTCACGAAAATGCATCTTTGCTGACAGTTTTTCCCTGGCTTTTAACAGTTTTATTTGAACCAGTGACAGCTCCAGTGTTGGTGATGACTGAAGTAATTACATAAAAACTGCTGGTTAAATCACAGACTTGTCAAAGAAAAACTGCAGTAGTACGAATTTCTATCCCTTCCACATGCGCCACATACGTTTTCAGTTTACAAAGAGTGTTTTTTCTGAGGAGGTCATTCTGTTTGATATTTATGTTGCTTTGAAGAGCTGCAGTCACATAATAAATGGTCGTCTGTCAGAAAAATGAAAAGAACCTGTATTGTATGAATGTCTGTGCTTGACTTGATGTTAGCCTAACCTTGTCAAAGAAATACAGAGGTGACCTCGCTGATACGTGATTTGTGAGTGATTCTAAGTCAATGTGGCAGACTGAATTGAGCTTTTTCCACTGATCACTGGCAAAAATATGGGCTAAACTAAGATTATTTCACAAAAAAAAATCTTGCAGTAGCTGCAAGTCAGTCTGTATGAAGATGGTTTCTTTGAAGGCTTCCATTCCAATGAGAAACCTCTTAGAATTTAAAGTTACATTTATGAGATTTTGTGCGGGGAGTACCATTTCACTTTGAACTTTTCATAGCACTGGGCACCAAAACAAATTCACTGCATCCTACATACGTACCATTACAAAAAAAATCATATGTACCATTACATATCATAGTCTCATTTCCTATGTTAGAATAGACTTTGTAGACAACTCTTGGACACGCGCTGCTTCTGAGAATCATGTTAGCTGATAAATAACTGACAAGGTTAATTAACTTTAATTGCTAATGTTTCCTACGGTTTTATTGTGACAGAACGAAAAGTCTGCTCAGTAAAAGGGATAGTTCACCAGGATGATTTTCCCCTTTATGGAACAAAAAAGAGTATATTTTAAATAATGTACTAGTGGCTCTTCTCCATGGAATTACGATAAGCTTCAAGCTTCAAAACGGGCATAAAATCTCCTTAAAGGGATATGAAAATGAATGAAAATTCTATCATCATTTACTTATCCTCAAGTTACTTAAAATCTTTTTGTCTTGTGTTTGAAGAAGGTTACCATTGACTTGCATTGTATGGACCCCCCCAAAAAAATCTGTGATATTTCTCATAATTATGCAGGTTATAATGCATGATGGTGGGAGAATGAAAAAAAATATTTACAAATTTGATATTTAATTATAACTTAACTTATAACTTCTTCCTTTAAAGTTCATACATCTTGTGAACTATATATTTCATACAATGAGTACAAGCATTCATTAGAAAGTTAAAAAAGTCAAATTTTTGAAAGAGTCACGTTACCATGATTTGATCATCTCTTTCTTGGTTCACAGGAAATTATGTCAGTTGACGATGAATCAACCTCCTGCTATTGCCTGATGAACTCGCATAGCTGTCACTTGTTGCTGGATCAGCCGGGCTGTTATGTACTAGTGGGGGAACCCATCACCGATGCTGCCATAAAGAGACTAAGGATTGCTGTGTTCGGCAGTATGGAGGCTTCCTCCATGGACTACAGCTTGCGAGTGCACTGTGTAGACGACACACCGCATGCCTTTCAGGTGACAGCAGGACAGTGAACGTGGCCGTAATCACATTACTCAAATAGAGTGCAACAATCAGGTTCTGAAAGTAAAAATCCCATTCATTTCCATAGGGGAACTGATTTTTAACGATAACTTACTGAGCTACAAGATAGTCAGTGATGTAGGCTTTTGTTAGGCCACATTTGTTAAACATTTTTCAGTTTACAAAGAGTGTTTTTTCTGAGGAGGTCATTCTGTTTGATATTTATGTTGCTTTGAAGAGCTGCAGTCACATAATAAATGGTCGTCTGTCAGAAAAATGAAAAGAACCTGTATTGTATGAATGTCTGTGCTTGACTTGATGTTAGCCTAACCTTGTCAAAGAAATACAGAGGTGACCTCGCTGATACGTGATTTGTGAGTGATTCTAAGTCAATGTGGCAGACTGAATTGAGCTTTTTCCACTGATCACTGGCAAAAATATGGGCTAAACTAAGATTATTTCACAAAAAAAAATCTTGCAGTAGCTGCAAGTCAGTCTGTATGAAGATGATTTCTTTGAAGGCTTCCATTCCAATGAGAAACCTCTTAGAATTTAAAGTTACATTTATGAGATTTTGTGCGGGGAGTACCATTTCACTTTGAACTTTTCATAGCACTGGGCACCAAAACAAATTCACTGCATCCTACATACGTACCATTACAAAAAAAATCATATGTACCATTACATATCATAGTCTCATTTCCTATGTTAGAATAGACTTTGTAGACAACTCTTGGACACGCGCTGCTTCTGAGAATCATGTTAGCTGATAAATAACTGACAAGGTTAATTAACTTTAATTGCTAATGTTTCCTACGGTTTTATTGTGACAGAACGAAAAGTCTGCTCAGTAAAAGGGATAGTTCACCAGGATGATTTTCCCCTTTATGGAACAAAAAAGAGTATATTTTAAATAATGTACTAGTGGCTCTTCTCCATGGAATTACGATAAGCTTCAAGCTTCAAAACGGGCATAAAATCTCCTTAAAGGGATATGAAAATGAATGAAAATTCTATCATCATTTACTTATCCTCAAGTTACTTAAAATCTTTTTGTCTTGTGTTTGAAGAAGGTTACCATTGACTTGCATTGTATGGACCCCCCCAAAAAAATCTGTGATATTTCTCATAATTATGCAGGTTATAATGCATGATGGTGGGAGAATGAAAAAAAATATTTACAAATTTGATATTTAATTATAACTTAACTTATAACTTCTTCCTTTAAAGTTCATACATCTTGTGAACTATATATTTCATACAATGAGTACAAGCATTCATTAGAAAGTTAAAAAAGTCAAATTTTTGAAAGAGTCACGTTACCATGATTTGATCATCTCTTTCTTGGTTCACAGGAAATTATGTCAGTTGACGATGAATCAACCTCCTGCTATTGCCTGATGAACTCGCATAGCTGTCACTTGTTGCTGGATCAGCCGGGCTGTTATGTACTAGTGGGGGAACCCATCACCGATGCTGCCATAAAGAGACTAAGGATTGCTGTGTTCGGCAGTATGGAGGCTTCCTCCATGGACTACAGCTTGCGAGTGCACTGTGTAGACGACACACCGCATGCCTTTCAGGTGACAGCAGGACAGTGAACGTGGCCGTAATCACATTACTCAAATAGAGTGCAACAATCAGGTTCTGAAAGTAAAAATCCCATTCATTTCCATAGGGGAACTGATTTTTAACAATAACTTACTGAGCTACAAGATAGTCAGTGATGTAGGCTTTTGTTAGGCCACATTTGTTAAACATATTTAATTTTATTTATTATTAATCATGTTATCAACTGATTTCTTAGTGAAAAACCACTTTAATCCATGATTCTAGTTTTATATTGTGCTCCGTTGTTTTTAATATGGATGTCATTGACAGTGCTTCTTGGGATTGTAGTTCACTCAAAAATACAAATTTGATGAGAATACTCATCCTCAGCCATCCAAGATCATTTAAAATACTTTTAAAATACTTTTTTGCCTCAAATCAAAGTTTCTAAGTTGTGGTTCACCTTGTAGCTGGGTGGTTTGGTTCATGGCGTATAACTCTTGAAGACTTAAAAAAAAATCCCTATGGGGAAAACTAGGTTGTTGTAAGAACTTCCTACATTTAAGTATTTTAATGTAAATCTGTGGTGCATCACAAGAAGATCATAGTAATGCTTGACTGCATTTGCAGTAGGGTCCAAAAGTCTGAGACCACTGGTGAAAGAGTGTGTTTAGAATTATGGTTTAAATGTGTGATCAGAATGTCTGCTTTGGTCAGTGCTATTTTCAAACACACAACCAGAGGATACAAAAGTCAAAGTCAATTACAGTTGTCTTGCATGAGTGCTCAGATTCCTGTGTGCTCATGCACGCACACACGCACACCCGCGCGCACACACACACACACACACACACACACACACACACATACAGTTGTCTTGCATGAGTGCTCAGATTCCTGTGTGCTCATGCACGCACACACGCACACCCGCGCGCACACACACACACACACACACACACACACATAAAGAGAACACTCATCTTTGCAATGCAGTGAAAGACAAAGCAGTTTTGACAGATGAACACTGCCTCACTTGAAATCAAAGAAGCCAGTAATCAATTTAAATTCAATTTTCTTTTCAAAGCTTTAACCAGCACTTTGTTTGAAAGCTCTTTTTTATATTTCTGAATGTTTATTAGCTGTAGAGCTTTTGTTCCTTCCAAAAACTGTACCTTTTTTTAGCTACTCAAAATCAAGTTCAGATAATATTTCTTATATTGAATTTGAACTATAATGGATTGACAAGATGTTACACTTTAAATTGGCTTTAGTGTTTTAGCCTTTTTAGCCATTGCAGTAATTTCTCTTCTGAACTGGTTAAACATTCAGCACCTCCTAAGCAAAGTAGCTGCAATACTGTGGTGTTATGGTTATCTAGTCTGTCCACATTTTCTTTCTATACCACTTTCTGCCCTTCCCTATGTTTTTCCCCAGTGTTCTCACTCTGTTTTTCCTGTACTTGCATTTTTTACAGAGAGTGGTTACTGCTGAAACCAGTAGAGGAGGTCAGCTTCTTGAGGAGCCCAAGATGCTGTTCTTCAAAGGAAACTGCCTCAGTCTGCAGGTGTCCATCCAGGATATCCCTCAGTTTCTGTGGAGCATCAAACCATTCACAACCTGTCAGGTAACATGCTAAAATTGGTAACCTGCTCTGACCAGTACTGTAATGTACACAACTGCGTTGTAGACATCCGAGGTAAAGCTAGTCTACACTCTAAAAAAAAAAAATGCTGGATTAAAAAACGACCCCTGCCGGGCTATTTGGCAACCCAGTGCTGGGTAAAAAATGGACAGAACACATGCTGGGTTATTTTGACCCAGCTCGTTGGGTTTTATACACATTTTCAGGGTTGTATTTTGACAGTGCTGGGTTAAACAACCTGATGCTGAAGGTTAATCATTTCAAATAATATTAATGTAATCTGTTCTCTGTTATGGACAGGGACAGTTTATACATTTCAATATGTCAAACAAATAGCATACTAGATCAACATCAGCCTTGGTTGCACAATTTGTTTGGCAGGAAGTGAAGCTTACATATGGTGGCTCTTCGTAGGGCTGGGTGATTTGACCTAAAATCAAAACCTCGATTAATTGAACAACTTTACCTCAATTTCGATTATTTAACTATTGTTTTTTTTTTTGCCCTTATAGTAAAAATACTCCACTATTAAATGTGGGATAATTTTTTTCTAATGAAAGAGTGCATTTCTTTTCTTTGTGATTTTAAAATAATTGAAGGAAACAAACTATTTATGGTTATTTGTTGAATATTTCGAACAATTGAAATCAAAGCTTGCTTGAAATGAAGACATCTTATGAAAAATGTGACATTTCAGTTTTATTGTAAAAAGTTTCCTAAAAAAAATAGAAAATAACTTTAATTTTTTGCAAACAAAATAAATGAATATTGCCATGTCAAAAGTAGAAAATAACCAGCATCTCTTGCAAACAAAATACATTTAAAATATTGCAATGTAAAAAATAGAAAATAACGTGTATTTCTTGTAAATTAATATTATTTTAAATAATGCAATGTGAAAAGTAGAAAAAATAAATGAATATTGCCATGTCAAAAGTAGAAAATAACCAGCATCTCTTGCAAACAAAATACATTTAAAATATTGCAATGTGAAAAATAGAAAATAACGTGTATTTCTTGTAAATTAATATTATTTTAAATAATGCAATGTGAAAAGTAGAAAATAATAACTTGCATCTCCTGTAACCAAATGTTTTAAAGGTGACATATCATGAAAATCTGACTTTTCCAGGCTTTAAGTGCTATAGTGAGGTCCCCGGTGCATCTACCAACCAAGGAAACGTGAAAAAGATTAACCCAGTAACTTAGTTTTGGTAAGCCTTTTTCTGCAAGCGTCTGAAATAACGAGAGTGTCTGATTTCGCTCCCTTGGTGACATGGCAAAGGGATCTCATTATAATATTACCGGCCCTTAATCGGCACGTTTCCACCCATGGCGCCGTCATTTTGATTTTGCAAGCGACAATGGTGTAATGCCATGGCGAAAGTTTGAGCAGAACATGCTAACTGTTCTGTCTTTGGCTGCACAGACGAGCACAGAACACTATTTACAGTCCCAGCCTCAGAGGAGACAATAGAGCAGTGGATTTATTGATTTATTTACTGTATATTGCTGCTGCCACACAGATCTAAAATAAACATGTGATTTATTTCCCTGCTGTTTACCTTCACAGACATAACCGACTGTTTTTGTAACTCATGTGTGTTTATAACGTAAACTTGTGTGTGAATTAGAACTTAATTTAGTACTCACATGCTGTCTGGTGGCTGCTTTCTGTACGTGTGCTTCGGATATGTGCTCTCAGAAAACCGTATATCAGAAGTTTAAACTAATTTGGTTTAAAACGCATGATTTCAGCGTGATAAACATGATAATCAGAACCAAAGCAGACGTTTTTTAGCTGGTCCGAGCTGTAATGGCGCAGCTCTATTCTGGAAAAGGGGGCGGGGAGCAGCAGCTCATTTGCATTTAAAGAGACAGGCCCGAAAAAAAGCACGTTTCTGCTTCCCCTCAAAATAGGCATTTTCAAAATGATATAATAAATGATCTGTGGAGTATTTTGAGCTGAAACTTCACAGACACATTCTGGGGACACCAGAGACTTACTGTTTATTACATATTGTAAAAAGGGGCATAATATGTCTCCTTTAAATCATGAATATATGCAAATAGAACACTGCTGATTAAGAGAAAAAGCATGACACCATCTCATTGATCTTGTCCTGTCACTCTATATGTGTATTTACTCTAGGTTCTTACTGGCTGTTCACATAGTCTTTGTGTCTAAAACCACGAGACGCAGCGCTCAGGAATGGTTTTAAAAAAGCACAGCGCAGAATGCCTACTCTGTTGTGTCATGTCAACCTGCTACTGTAAACAAAAGCTTGCAACGCTTGCTGTGCCTCCGGGGTCTTCTTATTGGTCCACAGTTTAGGAGCTGGCATTGATGAGCGGCGCTGCGTCTAAAAGTTTAAATTCTTTTAACGCGCCACTTACGTGCGAGACGCTGCAAAACACGCAAGCGCAACGGTCATACACGTCCGTATAGCGCTGACGCGGTAGTATGTTTTTAAGGGGAAAGTATTAATAGGATTAAAAAAACAAAATAACTGACATGTGAAAATTATGTCGGTTACAGGTTCTGAATTTCGGTTTCTATTTCTTTTCGATAAATCGTCCAGACCTAGCTCTTCGTAGATCCAGTGTATGCTGCATTTGTAGAAGCCTGCAGACATTAGCTGCAATGCAAATATAAACAAAAAGGTATAATGTGAGACTAAATGCATTTTCCTGTTTCTACAGTAATAGTTTTGATAGGAAAACAATGTAATATAAACCATAATTTCATTTAAGAAGATTCCTCACAAAATGTGTCTGGTTTTGACCAGTTTGGCTACCCAACACTGGGTTACACAGCAACTGAGTTAACCAAAAACTATCCAGCACTTGGGTGTAGGATATCAGACCGAATCAGACAATCTAAGATTTGGTCAAAACCGAGTTGAGGCACGAGGAGTCACAAAAATTCCACAGAGGCCCAAGACAACAGGATGTCATAAATCAGACCCCAGAATTTTAACCTCATTGAGGAATTCAGTGCGAGGGTTAATTAAGTGATTGATGGTTGTTCAGATCTATACAATGGCACATATTGCTGTAACTTGGGATTTCACATTTTCATTCTCTTAAACTAATTATTTTCCTCACTTTCTCTCTTTCTGCGACTTGTGTGTGAATGCGTGTGTTAGATTAGTTTATATGTCTTAGATTTATCCAATAAAGCCTTATTTATATTGAAAAGAGAAGTATCTTGTGTTTTGTGCTCACAAGTTAATGTCTTAAACTGCCGATCTTGTTACTATGCTAATTAATAGTGTTTTCACTATATTTTGGATATAGATATCCATTGCAGAATTGCTGTCATACGGCTCGTTCACTGACTCGCTGGCCGTCTCAGTGATCAACCGTAAAACAGTGATTCTGTCCTAATTCCCTTGCATATTAATGGTGGAGTTCCCTTTAAAATCTTAAATGATTCCCTTTGAGCTAAATTATTATCACTGTTTCCCTTACATGGGTAAAAACAATAAAATAACCCAATGAAATTACCCGAATGGCTGTACCCAGCATTTGGGTTAAGGAAAAAACTAACCCAGAACTTTTGTAGAGTACACATAATATGAGGTAATTTTATGCAATCAAGATTATTGTTCTGTTTTTCCAGTCATTTAGTGAGATATTAAAGCTTGTTTTTAGAGAACATAAATTCAATTAAATATTTATATTTTTAAGCATTGAACTGCCATCTTGATGTTAGATGTATTTACTGGCTAATTGTATTTTATTCATTTTTATTATTTAATAAAAACAATTAGCAAGTGAGGCAAGAAAAAATAAACTATTCTCTGAAAACAAGTCTTAATATTTTATGCAATTTTGCTTCAATTTTGTAAAGTAATTGTGTCATGTTTTAACATCTTATAAAATTTGTAATGCAAAACAAGACAAAAATACAATGTTTTAATATGATTTCCTGACAATTCTGTGCTTTTATGATAAGAGCAAAAAGCCCAAAATGTAAATAAAAAAATCTAGTCTGCATGTGTGAATCTCTTATATGAAGCATAGAGTAATAGTTTTAGTTTTCATTCATACAGCACTACAAGTTTCAACTCTGAAGACCGACACTCATGCAGATACAGAGTAACAAGTGTTTGGTTCCATGTTCTGGCATTTCATCAGTTCAGAGGTGCTTCTGCCTCCTGGAACATGCTTTAAGTATGCCTACTCGAGGGAGAAATTAATAAATTAAAGGGTTAACCCTTTAAGGCATCTGCTGTCCCATCAAGCATCTCTTCTGCTCAGGTTTCCTATTACTGTTGACATGAAGCATCTCGCAGGTCATTTCAATATGCAGGGCTGGAGAAACAGTACGGGAGAGGTCAAGGACACTCCCTGCAGATGTGCTGCTTCACAGAAATTAATTATACATCAAAGGCAATTGCTTTCCCTTCTGCTGCCCTGCTCCCAGATACGGTGTGTTGTACATAACCCAGTACTGACCCCTATCATCGGAATTAACAGGGATTAGAGTTGGTGTCTCTTTTGTACTGATGGTCTCAAAGACAAGTCTCTTAACACGCATGCTTCCACATTTTTCATGGATCAGGCACTTTCCCTGACTCAGCTCTCTGATCTCTCTCTCTCTTCTTCTCTTTATTTCTGGTGTCCTCATCCCGCTGCAGGAATTCTCCTTCACCCAAGTGTGGTATAGTAACCAGCAGCCTGTGCACTGTGCCTTCTCACTGCAGAGACATAGCGCCTCAACCACCCAGCTCTCCTGCAAGATCAGTGTGCGGCAGGTCAAAGGTCACGAGCAGATCCTGCAGGTCTACACCTCAGTGGGAGAGGTCAGATTAATAATGTCACTGGGTTTAATAACATCTCTGTCTGTCTATGTCTCAGCCTCATGTTTATTTTTTTCTGTGGAACAAAAAAATAATTTTAAAGAGTCTTGACATCTTACAAACAAGGACAGTTTTCAGTGAGAGGCTGTCAATCTCTAAAAAGGAATACCATGAACAAATTATTTAATGATTTCAGTGCAGCTCTCATATCAAATATGCTGCTATTGATATCTAGCCTGTACCATACACTCTTAAAAATAAAGGTTCTTTATTGGCATCTATGGTTCCTTGAGGAACGTTTAGCATCCATGGAAACATTCGATTGTGCAGAAGGTTCTTACAGTGGAGAAAGTTTCTTTAGTTTATTGAAATGTTCTTCATGCCAAGAACTGCTCACTGAAAAGTTATTTGGGGAGCAAGAATATAGTTCTTCTATGGCATCAGTGCTTGAGAAGGTGCCTATTTGGATTCCGAATCACAGTATAGAGTTAAAGAGTAATGTGAATAATGACTTAAAATTCAGATCATATTCACTCAGAGCTTGAAATATACAGGTGCATCACAATAAATTAGAATGTCGTGGAAAAGTTCATTTATTTCAGTAATTCAACTCAAATTGTGAAACTCGTGTATTAAATAAATTCAGTGCACACAGACTGAAGTAGTTTAAGTCTTTGGTTCTTTTAATTGTGATGATTTTGGCTCACATTTAACAAAAACCCACCAAGTCACTATCTCAACCAATTAGAATACTTCATAAGACCAATAAAAAAAATTTTTTTAGTGAATTGTTGGCCTTCTGGAAAGTATGTTCATTTACTGTACATGTACTCAATACTTGGTAGGGGCTCCTTTTGCTTTAATTACTGCCTCAATTCGGCGTGGCATGGAGGTGATCAGTTTGTGGCACTGCTGAGGTGGTATGGAAGCCCAGGTTTCTTTGACAGTGGCCTTCAGCTCATCTACATTTTTTGGTCTCTTGTTTCTCATTTTCCGCTTGACAATACCCCATAGATTCTCTATAGGGTTCAGGTCTGGTGAGTTTGCTGGCCAGTCAAGCACACCAAAACCATGGTCATTTAACCAACTTTTGGTGCTTTTGGCAGTGTGGGCAGATGCCAAATCCTGCTGGTCAGCAGAAGGAAGCATGAAGTGCTCCAAAATGTATTGGTAAATGGGTGCAGTGACGTTGGTTTTCAAAAAACACAATCAACCAACACCAGCAGATGACATTGCACCCCAAATCATCACAGACTGTGGAAACTTAACACTGGACTTCAAGCAACTTGGGCTATGAGCTTCTCCACCCTTCCTCCAGACTCTAGGACCTTGGTTTCCAAATGAAATACAAAACTTGCTCTCATCTGAAAAGAGGACTTTGGACCACTGGGCAACAGTCCAGTTCTTCTTCTCCTTAGCCCAGGTAAGACACCTCTGACGTTGTCTGTGGTTCAGGAGTGGCTTAACAAGAGGAATACGACAACTGTAGCCAAATTCCTTGACACGTCTGTGTGTGGTGGCTCTTGATGCCTTGAACCCAGCCTCAGTCCATTCCTTGTGAAGTTCACTCAAATTCTTGAATCGATTTTGCTTGACAATCCTCATAAGGCTGCGGTTCTCTCAGTTGGCTGTGCATCTTTTTCTTCCACACTTTTTCCTTCCACTCAACTTTCTGTTAACATGCTTGGATACAGCACTCTGTGAACAGCCAGCTTCTTTGGCAATGAATGTTTGTGGTCAATGATTGTCTTCTGAACAACTGTCAGATCAGCATTCTTCCCCATGATTGTGTAGCCTAGTGAACCAAACTGAGAGGCCATTTTGAAGGCTCAGGAAACCTTTGCAGGTGTTTTGAGTTGATTAGCTGATTGGCATGTCACCATATTCTAATTTGTTGAGATAGTGAATTGGTGGGTTTTTGTTAAATGTGAGCCAAAATCATCACAATTAAAAGAACCAAAGACTTAAACTACTTCAGTCTGTGTGCATTGAATTTATTTAATATACGAGTTTCACAATTTGAATTGAATTACTGAAACAAATGAACTTTTCCACGACATTTTAATTTATTGAGATGCACCTGTAGTGCATGTGTTGTGTGGTCTATTTTTGTAGTGTTCTATGGTGCTTTTTATGCATTTTGGAGCTCAAAAGTCTGAATTTGCAGTTGTTGCATGGACGAAATGTGACAAATATTCAGAAATTCTTTTGTGTTCCAAAGAAAAAGAAAAAACAGAGTACAGGTTTGAAATGACAAAATGAGTTAAGAAATGGCCGTTTTCATTTTATTTAACTCTTCCTCTAAAAGTTACTGTCATTTGGGGTCAGATTTACTTAAAGCTTTACTAAAAAAAATACTAAAAATCTACTGTCAGGATTTAATAAGGTGAAAAGGTGTGGACAGTTATTTTTGCAGCTGACTTATTGCATATGTATTTGTAAGAGATTCCCTTTTAGATGCGAAATATATGGGAGGAGAGTATTTATGCAGTCATGCTGTCAGGGATTCATCACAGTCACTGCAGTCACCAGCCAGGATAATCACCCGATCACAGTCACCTGAGTTCTAATCACCCGCACCTGCTGTCACCAATCAAGCCACACTACAAATACACACACATCACAGTCACTCACTGTCCGGTCTACCTCGTCGACTCGGGCTCCTCGGGCAATTTCATATCCCAGGACCTATTGAATCGTCTCCATCTGCCCCGCAAACGTCATGCCCAGGAGCTCCGAGTCGAGACTATCCAGGGAAAGCTGCTAGGACGGGGGTGGGTGAAATATCGAGCACCGACATTGAAGCTCAGGATTTTAACTCTACACAAGGAGGAGATCACGTTCCTGGTACTGGAGGGACCCACCGTGGATATTATCCTGAGATGCCCCTGGCTAGTTCTCCATTCTCCAGAGATCAGATGGGACTCGTGCGAAGTGACTCGCTGGAGCGAGCACTGTCTCCGCAACTGTCTCAAGTCATTACCCACTCCGCTCCCAGGAACTCCCTCCGCTCAAGTTGCATCTACCCTCATCGAAAGTCCTGAACCTCGGGAGAAGGTCATGGTCCCATCTGACTACTTGGCATTCCAGGATGTCTTCAGTAGCAGGCAGCCACCCAGTTATCACCTCATCGGCCATGGGACTGCGCCATCGACCTGCTGCCTGGAGCAAAACTCCCCAAGGGTAGAGTATACCCATTGTCCATCCCGGAGCGCAAGGCGATGGAGGAATACATCAAGGAGGCTCTTAACCAAGGATTCATCCGACCTTCCACGTCTCCAGCTGCATCCAGTTTCTTTTTCGTGGGCAAGAAGGACGGGGGCTTGCGGCCGTGTATCGACTATAGGACTGCCTATAGTCGAAAAGTTTTTTCTGCCTATAGTCGACTATAAACTGCCCTATCCACTTCCCCTGGTCCCGGCCGCCCTCGAGGAACTCCGTGGGGCCTGCATCTTCTCCAAGCTGGACCTGCGAAGTGCTTATAACCTCGTTCGAATCCGGGAGGGCAACGAGTGGAAGACGGCATTCATTACACCATCTGGCCACTATGAGTACCTTATCATGCCGTATGGGCTAGCCAACGCCCCGTCGGTCTTCCAGGGGGATCATGAACGAGGTGTTCCGGGAGTTCCTCCACCACTCTGTGATAGTCTATATTGACGATACTCCCGGATACTCCATACTATTCTAAGAAACTGACCCCAGTGGAGCAGAATTACGACGTTGGCAACCGGGAGTTGCTGGCTATCAAACTCGCCCTGGAGGAGTGACGGCACTGGCTGGAGGGAGCTAACCACCCATTCACCGTGATTACCGACCACAAAAATCTTCAGAACCTCAGAGAAGCCAAGAGACTTAACCCTCGCCAAGCCCGTTGGGCATTGTTCTTCACCAGATTTCAGTTCATATACACACACATCACAGTCACTCACTGTCCGGTCTACCGTTCACTCCTACGAACTACTCTGGACTCTCTCTCTCTCCCAAATTCTCCTAGAACGACTTACCTGCTGTTCCTCCCACGATCCTCCAATGACTCCGTGGTAACGGCTCCACGATCTCCATTGTAACCGGCTTACGATCCTCTCCATCAGAACTCAGATAAGCACCCTGGAACCATTCACTGTGTTGACATTCACCTGCCTTGAACTCACCTCTTCCAGTCATCCACTTACCCAGTCAATAAACCATCCTGTTTTGCACTAACCTGTTGTGTCTGGCCTTGCTTTGTGACACATGCAGTGTGATATATTAAGGTTTTCAGTAGTTAATTTACTGCCATTATTAAATGCCCCCCAAAAATTTGTTTCAACCCATTTTGTGCTTGACATGGCTGCAATAATTGCTCAATTGCACCACTCTTGGTAGTTTGCGTTGGTCATTATGGAAATTATCCGGCTGCGTCTGTGTTCTTTAATTTGCTTATGCTCATCAACCGCAAATTTCCACTCCCATCAGCACTTTTATGGGATTGCAGTCTGACGTTAATTTGCCCTGTTTAGTCATTCTGACCCTATGTTTTTAGTACATGGGTAAAATAAACCATAAGTGTTTTTTCAAGCTCCTTTTTAGGTAAAAAAAAATTGCATGCCAAAACCATGTTTTTTTTTTCTTTCAGAGTGAGAAAGAGACAGTTCCATTTTTTATGCAGGCAGATTGCACAGTGACTTCACAGACGGGGGCCAAAGCCTTCAAAATCCCCCTGTCCATACGTCAGCGGATATGCACCACCTTCGATACTGCCAACGCCAAGGGCAAGGACTGGCAGCTCTTAGCTCAGAAACTCCACGTTCAAAGGTGAGCGCCAGAGAGAGATGTAGCCAAGGCAACAGGACTGATTGAAACTTATTGCAGCAGTGCTCACTTTAACAATGCCCTTGAATAATAAGCTGAGACTGCACTCCACTTTGCTCGATCATTTCACTCAGAACTCATACTACTCAGGCTTTTCATCTTTATTGAATTCAGTTTCTACAAAGGTTAGAAGTTAAAGAACCACTAGAGATTTGAGAGATATAAGAGCCACCACCTTCCCTTTATGAAGCAATTGTATAGCACATTGATAGTTTATACAGATTTTGTTTCTGTGTAGATGATCTATGAGCTGAATGCAATGCAAACCCTAAACTTTCCTTTTAAATCTGAACATTTTATTTGTCAGTTGGGTCTAAAATGGGTCTATTTAGTTTTTATTATATTATTTTTATTTTTATTTTAACAAGAGTTGCATCCAAGTAACTCTACAAAAGGAAACCATGCAAATAAAAAGAGAACTGTTAAAATTGAAGACATGTTTTTCATTCCTACTAATACATTTGTGCTACTAATACATAAATGCTTCACAGTTATGAAGATATAAACTGGTATTGCAGCTCTAATTTGTGCCATTTGAAATAAATGACAATTCATATTTATTCAAAAAAGCAAACATCTTGTTACCTTTTCTTGAACCTATGTCACATGACCATTTGAGTTTGGAATTATATTACAACACTGCCATCTATTGGCACATTACAAGTAACAGCACACACGTCATGTATTAATTTCAGCTGTAGTCCTTAAAAACAGAAGGATACATAAGGATAGTCAGAGTCAGGCTATAATGCACATATAATTGAATGCAAATATAATAAAAGTTATCCAGACGTGTTTGCAAACATTGGGATAGAAGGTTGACATATATAATATGATCTTGCTATGTACTCAAATAACGTCATCTTCTCTTGTGAAACCTGCATTTCCTTTCGGCACAGGAACCTGTCCTACTTTACCAAGCAGAAGAGTCCCTCTGCTGTCATTCTCAGTCTCTGGGAGGCCAGGCATCAGGACAGTGGAGATCTTGACTCCCTTGCAAGTGCTTTGGAGGAGATCGGAAAGATCCACTGTAAAAGTCTGCCTCAGAGTCCAGATGACAAAGAAACAGACTTTACGTTTTGAGGGACTACTGAAGACAACATGTACTCCACCAGGTGCAATTCCCCAGCATCTTTAATTTAAAGTCCAAGCGCAGCCAGCTGAGGCATATCCAGTCTGATGGCTGCAATAATTGCTCAATTGCACCACTCTTGGTAGTTTGCGTTGGTCATTATGGAAATTATCCGGCTGCGTCTGTGTTCTTTAATTTGCTTATGCTCATCAACCGCAAATTTCCACTCCCATCAGCACTTTTATGGGATTGCAGTCTGACGTTAATTTGCCCTGTTTAGTCATTCTGACCCTATGTTTTTAGTACATGGGTAAAATAAACCATAAGTGTTTTTTCAAGCTCCTTTTTAGGTAAAAAAAAATTGCATGCCAAAACCATGTTTTTTTTTTCTTTCAGAGTGAGAAAGAGACAGTTCCATTTTTTATGCAGGCAGATTGCACAGTGACTTCACAGACGGGGGCCAAAGCCTTCAAAATCCCCCTGTCCATACGTCAGCGGATATGCACCACCTTCGATACTGCCAACGCCAAGGGCAAGGACTGGCAGCTCTTAGCTCAGAAACTCCACGTTCAAAGGTGAGCGCCAGAGAGAGATGTAGCCAAGGCAACAGGACTGATTGAAACTTATTGCAGCAGTGCTCACTTTAACAATGCCCTTGAATAATAAGCTGAGACTGCACTCCACTTTGCTCGATCATTTCACTCAGAACTCATACTACTCAGGCTTTTCATCTTTATTGAATTCAGTTTCTACAAAGGTTAGAAGTTAAAGAACCACTAGAGATTTGAGAGATATAAGAGCCACCACCTTCCCTTTATGAAGCAATTGTATAGCACATTGATAGTTTATACAGATTTTGTTTCTGTGTAGATGATCTATGAGCTGAATGCAATGCAAACCCTAAACTTTCCTTTTAAATCTGAACATTTTATTTGTCAGTTGGGTCTAAAATGGGTCTATTTAGTTTTTATTATATTATTTTTATTTTTATTTTAACAAGAGTTGCATCCAAGTAACTCTACAAAAGGAAACCATGCAAATAAAAAGAGAACTGTTAAAATTGAAGACATGTTTTTCATTCCTACTAATACATTTGTGCTACTAATACATAAATGCTTCACAGTTATGAAGATATAAACTGGTATTGCAGCTCTAATTTGTGCCATTTGAAATAAATGACAATTCATATTTATTCAAAAAAGCAAACATCTTGTTACCTTTTCTTGAACCTATGTCACATGACCATTTGAGTTTGGAATTATATTACAACACTGCCATCTATTGGCACATTACAAGTAACAGCACACACGTCATGTATTAATTTCAGCTGTAGTCCTTAAAAACAGAAGGATACATAAGGATAGTCAGAGTCAGGCTATAATGCACATATAATTGAATGCAAATATAATAAAAGTTATCCAGACGTGTTTGCAAACATTGGGATAGAAGGTTGACATATATAATATGATCTTGCTATGTACTCAAATAACGTCATCTTCTCTTGTGAAACCTGCATTTCCTTTCGGCACAGGAACCTGTCCTACTTTACCAAGCAGAAGAGTCCCTCTGCTGTCATTCTCAGTCTCTGGGAGGCCAGGCATCAGGACAGTGGAGATCTTGACTCCCTTGCAAGTGCTTTGGAGGAGATCGGAAAGATCCACTGTAAAAGTCTGCCTCAGAGTCCAGATGACAAAGAAACAGACTTTACGTTTTGAGGGACTACTGAAGACAACATGTACTCCACCAGGTGCAATTCCCCAGCATCTTTAATTTAAAGTCCAAGCGCAGCCAGCTGAGGCATATCCAGTCTGACAGAAGACTTAGACAAGATGCGACCAATCAGAAGGTTTCACATATCTGTACATGTGCGAAGGAAGGATGAGTTGGTATGAATTTGGCACAGATTTAACAGCTTCAAAATGCTTTTCTAAAAGTGCCAAGCCATCACAACTTTCATAAAATTCCGCCTTAGCCTTTCCTTGGTATTTATGATTTTATTATTGTTAGTATTATTATTATTATTGTGTGGGATTTTATTGGTGGCCAGACTGGGATGTTCTTGAGCATTTCCTTGTGTCAGCATCATAATTAAAGGAATAGTCCATCCCAAAATGAAAATTATATCATAATTTATTCACCCTCATGTCGTTCTAAAGCTGTATGACTTTTTTATTTGGAACTAGTGCTGTCAAACGATTAATTGCGATTAATCGCGTCCAAAAAAAAGTTTTTGTTTACATAATATATATGTGTGTGTACTGATTTATTATGTATATATAAATACACCCATGCAGTTATATTTTGAAAATATTTACATATTCACAACATTCATATAATTTATATTATATCTAAATATATTTAATATATAAACATAATATATTTTTCTTAAATATATACATGCATGTGTATGTATTTATATATGCATAATAAATATACACAGTATGCACACACATGTAAACAAAAACTTTTATTTTGGATTAATCACGATTAATCGTTTGACAGCACTAATTGGAACGTAAAAGAAGATGTTATGAAAAATGTTGGAATGCCAATCAGCAGAAAGGGGCGTTTAATTCCCGCCCACGTGTAGAAATCGAATATTCAAGCTGTTTATTCATTTTTCCACCAAAGAACGAAAAACGAAAATTTAAGCTGAATTCTCGTTTTTTCGTTTTTTGGGAAAAAAACAAAAACACGAAAAAGGAGCCGTTTTCTCATTTTTCTGCTTTCAATATTAAATCAAAAAACGAATGATCGAAAGATACACGGATTCAAACAGTTTCAGTTTTTCTATTTCTATTATATGGACAAAAAATACAATGGAATCCGAAACTGTCAAAATATCTTCTTTTGTTTGAAGACTTATTTTTGGCTGAACTATCGATTTGATCTTTTCCTTTTTTCACTAGTGTTCCAGAGTTGCGATGTATTTACATCCCTTCTGCATGTTACTACTGACGTGTGCTTTGTTTGCACTATATGACATTCAGAGAAGAGAGGGAAATACACTCCTGCAAACTGCCTTTTTTGCTCATCACACATTGTGATCGTGACTCACGACATTATTTTATCTCCGTCTCAATGGGATCGGTTGAAGAATAATTCTAAATAATATATGGTAATATAAAGCAATAAGCCCAAAGAAGCTGTGGTTTACAGTGAATTTATAACAGCTAAGGGGCGTTGTTAAAACTAAAACCCCCTTAGCTGTTATAAATTCACTGTAAACCACGGCTTCACAGGGCTTATTGCTTTTGTAAAACGGTTATTCCATATGTGTAGTAAGGTTTCACAAAATAAAACAGAGCAAATAAAGTGTAATGATATTAATAAAAACATTATTCTTCCACCAATCAATGTAGTTCCTCAGAATCAGTTGTGGTTGAAACAAAGTGGTTGCTGAGCAACACACACAAGTAAACAAAGTGCATGTTTGTAGAGTAATTTATAACAGCTTCGAACGTGGCTCAGCCAATCAGAATCAAGGACCGGAACTATCCGTTTTATAATAAAGATTCTTCGGCTAAGGCAGAGCACTGCATATTAGAAAAGAACCTTATTTACGCAGTTTAGGAGGATAAAAATCCATTAAGTTTTTTGCTTAAAAAACCTCAATGCATACCTCAATGCTCACTCAAATGCATTACTCTGTTCCTGTGAGCGTGTTTGAGTCATCAGGGCAGACAGCAGGATGGTATCATGCCTTTTATAGAGCGTTAGGCCTGAGACTAATATTGACCAGAAGAAGCGTTTACTTAAGCCATGCAAACGGCAGCACATCCCTTTTGTTAAAACGTATAGCTTTCTTTTGAAATGCATCTGAAAAGGATGAGCTCCAAGAGACCTCTGTGAAATGATGCCTCTCTTATCTCCTCTGACCATATTCCACCAAACACAATGGGGGAACATGGACCGGTGAGCAGTGAGAGTTATAATTAAGGTCTGATAAAAGAAAAAGAGCAGTGTGGAAAAAATCCTGTCAGAAGTGCAGGAAAAAAGTTGTCCTCCTTTTCCAAGTCATCTACTTCATTAACCTTCTCTCTCTCAAACAGAAATGCCTCCAAGTGCTCATTTGAATTGGGTTTCAGTGTTCTAGCCACTACAATGCTTGCTACTGGTTTAAAATGTTAAGCTTTATCTCTTACTCTGGATATTCTTTTTATATAAATATTTCTTTTTTTGTATTTTTAATATAAGTTTGATGAAGGATTTAATGATTTGCTGATCACTTTATATTGAGAAGCACTGAGAACAGCAGCATGTTTGACGTGTTTATTAGTGTAGTTGTCCACAACTATATTAAATAGCCCAAAATGTGTTTTTATTATATTTCCTTTATTTTAACGTATTAGCAAATTTGCTGTCACTCCTCTAAAAAAAAACAAAAACACGAAAAAGGAGCCGTTTTCTCATTTTTCTGCTTTCAATATTAAATCAAAAAACGAATGATCGAAAGATACACGGATTCAAACAGTTTCAGTTTTTCTATTTCTATTATATGGACAAAAAATACAATGGAATCCGAAACTGTCAAAATATCTTCTTTAGTTTGAAGACTTATTTTTGGCTGAACTATCGATTTGATCTTTTCCTTTTTTCACTAGTGTTTCACAGAGTTGCGATGTATTTACATCCCTTCTGCATGTTACTACTGACGTGTGCTTTGTTTGCACTATATGACATTCAGAGAAGAGAGGGAAATACACTCCTGCAAACTGCCTTTTTTGCTCATCACACATTGTGATCGTGACTCACGGCATTATTTTATCTCCGTCTCAATGGGATCGGTTGAAGAATAATTCTAAATAATATATGGTAACATCAGTTTAAAAAAAACACTATATTACACTGATATGCAGGGGTCTAGAGCTTTTCTAGTGCTAAATATACTTGTTTGGTATCGCCAGGCCAGCTTTGTGGTATACTGTATCTATGATTATGAACATTTTGGATGTTTTCTGTACAGTAGAGTTTGCTGATGTATATGCAGTCTTTTGGAAATAAATGTACAGCTGAAGAGAGCTGCAACTCTAGCAAACATGCCTCGTGGCTTTATTTTATTTCCAACTGCTGATGGTTTTCTCAGAGCAAATAAAGTGTAATGATATTAATAAAAACATTATTCTTCCACCAATCAATGTAGTTCCTCAGAATCAGTTGTGGTTGAAACAAAGTGGTTGCCGAGCAACACACACAAGTAAACAAAGTGCATGTTTGTAGAGTAATTTACAACAGCTTCGAACGTGGCTCAG